CAAACAGCTTAAACCTTTCACAACATTGATAATCCAAGAAAAAGGCTATGGTCTGTTTGGGAGGGCTAAAAGCGCTTTCTAACAACGTTTGGTATAAAATGCTCGAAGTGCTTTTAGGTCGTAGAAGCTCTTTCTAGAGAAGCACTTGGATTTCTTATGAAAATTTCGACATCTTTATAATAAAAACACTTTTATGAGCATAAGTGCTTCCTAAAAAAGCAGTTCCAAACGGGCTCATGCATGTTTTTTTTTAAAAATCTGAATTGTAATTTGGGTCTAAGATATAAATTTAGCTAGCTTCTTGCATATGTTTCAGAGCTTGATCAGTCATGTGAAGGATATTTCTTTATACTTTCATCTTTATCTGTGTGTCATGTGACAACATCTCATATAAAAAGTGCACAGTGTGATTAGGCATTTGGGTTAGCTTGTGGAAATAAAAAGATCATATAATGTAAATTTTGCAACAGATTAAATCGTAAATCTCTCTGTATATTGCTAATTGATTTTGAATTCAATGTTACAATTTTATACAAGTGAGGTGAAAAAATCTTGAAAAATAAATTGCTAAATGTAAACTTGTATGTATTTTAGTAATTAATTTTGGCTTAGATGTTACAATTTTAAGTAAAGTGCCCGTTTGATAACCATTTCAATTTTAGTTTTTAGTATAGGAAAATGAGAGAGAGAATGGAAGTGAGGATGAGAGAGAGGAGTAACAAAAGTGAAAACAAAATATTTAAAGTAAAAACAATTTGAAATAGATTTTAGTTTTTGTTTTCACTTTTGTTATTCCTTCCTTCCATCCTCTTCTCTCATCTTCACTCTCAATCTCATCTCCACTTTCATTCTCACTTCCATTCTCCCTCTTTTTCCTTTATACTCTAGCACAAAAAATGAAAACTAAAAACTAAAATTGAAATGGTTATCAAACGGGTCCGAGTGAGGAGGGGAAAAGGGTTAAGAGGAAACTTCTCCAATATCTTCCACCACAAGAAACATTAGACCCGCATTTTAGCAAACAAAAAGAAAAAACCCCACACATAAGAAAATTAAAAACTGAACTTGACGACATGCAATTTGCTAGGAGGACCCTAAAGGATGCTTGTGTCTTGTAACAAACAACTCCATATGTTGTTTGGCCTAAATCAGTGTGGCCAACTGTATTTGCATCATTAAACTTTCTACAGTTCGTTGCAAGTGATGGACAAGTTTGAGAAGAGAACAAGGGGTCCATTTACTTGAATGCTGAGGGCCATGCAAAATTGTAATGCGCCACTACTTCTATCATGCGCCAATTTAAAAAATTTCATCACACTGACATATCCATTATTGTTTTTGGTTTCATTTACCACACACGTATGGCTCTATCTATTAATTAGTTTCGTACTTTTGGTGTGCTTGTGAGTTCCTGTGAATTGCATTTAATTTGCATAGCTCAACAATCATGCAAACTCCTATCTTTCAATTCCTCTGTACTTTTTGTGCTTTGATTTTCATTAGATGTTTTACTATACAGCAAATACGTAAGTGTGAAAAATCGCTAGTTTGCTACCTTAGGGATGAGATTTATGGGTGCTTTAAGAGATTCCGAAGTTCTTTTAATGGTATATTCACTTATATCAGTAATGGGTATAAGAAGAAATGGAATTATGTCAATTATTAGCTTCCCCACATTTTCTAGAACACATAACCTTAAAATCATTAGCGCAATAGCCTCAAAATCAGGAATTGGATCAACTAGAGGACTCAGTTAATATAATTCCAGTTCTTTACTTCCCTCTTTTCAAGTAAGTAAACATACCATTAAGAGTTATCCAGAAAAATTAGAGGTTATTACTTATAAATGACTGCATGGACTTATAAACCCATGTTAGATTATGATAAAGAAAAAGTCATTGGTGGGGAGCCAGGAAGAAGTTGGAGAAGTGCCTCTATCTGCAGAGAAAAGCAGTGAGAAGCATAGATAAAGATGTAAATTGATGCTTAGGATAATGTCGCAGTCTCGCAGAGCAGAGGGGAGATGGTAATCATGACTTGCTAGATGGTCCCTTTAAAACTTTTCCACCTTATTAGCAATGAGAGGGACCCTTAATCCACTTTGTTGGTTGAGATCTTGGCTTTAAAGTTTTAGCATCCATATATTTTATTACACATATAGGCTCGAGTCACGCAGCTTATGTACATCAAATTACCAAAGTGGAAGACTTTTTGGGATCATTATTAAGCTATCAAATCTTAAGAATCTACGATCATAATGCATGAAATTACCCATTTAAGCATTTAAAAGTTGCTCAAGCTGCATCGTGGTTGAAAATATTTATTATCATGATTATGAAGTTGAAAAATAGATGGATTATAAATTTCCTCTCTTAATTCTATTTCCTTTTCTCCTTCAATATCTAAGTTTAAGCAAATGCATAGCGAGCGACAATGTACTTCCCATCAACTTTGGGAATCTTGTAATTATTAGGTAAACCTAATTCAACAACCTCTCGCATATGTCGTAGGTATTGAAAATATATATTAATGAACCCAAAGCTAATCATTAAACTTTTTGAATTATTAATTTCTCATCACAAGCTAATTATTATAGCAACAAGAATTTCATCAAAGACAAATTAGTTCCCTTCTAAAACACATATAAAATCAAGGATTCATCTCACATTCAAACAGCTTAAACCTTTCACAACATTGATAATCCAAGAAAAAGGCTATGGTCTGTTTGGGAGGGCTAAAAGCGCTTTCTAACAACGTTTGGTATAAAATGCTCGAAGTGCTTTTAGGTCGTAGAAGCTCTTTCTAGAGAAGCACTTGGATTTCTTATGAAAATTTCGACATCTTTATAATAAAAACACTTTTATGAGCATAAGTGCTTCCTAAAAAAGCAGTTCCAAACGGGCTCATGCATGTTTTTTTTTAAAAATCTGAATTGTAATTTGGGTCTAAGATATAAATTTAGCTAGCTTCTTGCATATGTTTCAGAGCTTGATCAGTCATGTGAAGGATATTTCTTTATACTTTCATCTTTATCTGTGTGTCATGTGACAACATCTCATATAAAAAGTGCACAGTGTGATTAGGCATTTGGGTTAGCTTGTGGAAATAAAAAGATCATATAAAGACAACTTAATCTTTTTTGGTTTCATTTTACTTTATCTTTATGTTCCTATTGCCATAATTGTCATCAAAAAATTTGTAGGACAAGGACTCGGCTGAATCCCAACAAAGGAGATGGGAAATGATGAGACTAAGTGCACACATGAGAGACAACAGAAGGTGGCCATGTGATGGTGGTATCCACAAACATATGAAAGATAGAAAAATTGGAAGCAAACGACCTCTTACAAAGTTACAAGGCATAATTAAAGAGACACCATCTAAGATACTTTCCAAGAAGGTCCATTGGTTTTGGTTTGCTCCCCTGGAAGCACCTCAAGCTGTCTCTCTCTCTCTCAGTCTCTCTCTCAAACAGTTTTTTTTTTCTTTCATTTTTTAGAATCGATCGATAAAATTACAAAGAGAATACCCTATCATACATGAATTTTAAAGAAATGGATAACGAAAAATTTGCAAACGAAATGTATTATAGTTTTTTTTTTCTTTCATTTTTTAGAATCGATCGATAAAATTACAAAGAGAATACCCTATCATACATGAATTTTAAAGAAACGGATAACGAAAAATTTGCGAACGAAATGTATTATGTCTCTCTCAAACAGCGTTATATATGTATGTATGAGCTAAAAAATAGTGTTATATGTAAAAAGACGTCTAGTTCAAGTATCAAGTGCCAAAGTGAAAAAGATGAAAATAAAAAATACGAAAGTGAAAACACAAATGAATAAAGAAAATCACGTGCTAAGACAGCCCAAAGTGAACAGGTATCACGTGACGAAAGAAATCTCAAGTGAGGGTGGAAAAAAGAGTAGGTGGGGAGTGGGGAGTGGGGACCTTTGAGTGGGCCTACGAACTCATGAATCTTTTTTTTTTCTTCGTTAGATAATAATTAACAAACGCATGAAATCCAATTTAGAAACAGAATCTGACTTTATTTAAACGGAGCATCTGGGAAACAAAAGAACCAAAAGAATTTGGCAACGTGTGTTTGGTTACTGAGAAAATCAATACGCAAATATTGGGCCATAATTCTTCAAGCACTGCTCACTCAACTACCAATTTTTAAGATTTCAACCAATTTTGGGAGCAAGTAATGCGAATGGGGCCTATATAACACAAACTGTTCGGCCTAAGTTGCAATAATCAAAACAAAAATGAGAAGTAGATAAGTATGCAAATGTGAGTTAGGCCAATTAGTTAGGGTAATGTGTCCGTCTCTTTGCACCCGAGTTTAAAATTCCTTTCTCGTAAATTAAAGTAATTAAGAATATCTCTATGTTCCTTAAAAAAAAAACACCATATAGTGTATTTAGTGGGTGGATTGAGTAAAATTATTACTTTTATTTTATTTTGTGTGGATGGAACAAGAAGTAGTTGGGTAGGACGAGTTAAGGGAGGCGACAATACCACCATTTAAAATATAAAATAAAAAAATAATAGCAATGGTAAAAAGTAGTGGCCCAAAAATTAGAAGCCCAACATTCAAGTGGGCTTTTGGAAGTGGAAGTTTTATTCCAAGTGTTTGGGGTGGATTATTGCAATGGGCTTGGAATGAGCTTAGAAGATTCAAAAGTTGCCCATTTTTCTTTGCCATATATGTAAATTGTTATACACTTTACAAATCCTAAGAATAAAAGTTTATACAGTTATTCTCTCATCCGGATGTTCGCACGTTATTATCGTGTGGATGTTATTGTAAACAAGGAGGAAAACAGAGTGGTGTAGAAGAAAATACATGATGTTCACATGATAATAACGTCCGGACGTCCGCATAGGAAAATTTCTAAAAGTTTATATGGTTTGCTTTTTTATTTTTTATTTTTATAAATGTTGCATTAGAAATAAAAAGCTCAAACCAAAGTGGAAAACAAGCCCCTCCCTTATTTTTTATGGTTAATTACCTAACTGCAGAATGCTGGCAGATGAAGCACCCAAGTAGCAATTTCTTTGGTGTAATTCCAGTAGAACGAAACTTTGCAGCTGTCTCCTCCACCCTGAGGCATTGCTCTCTCTGTTTGGCTTCAATGAAAGCTCTCCTTTGGTCTCCTGCCTTGTGAATTTCAGCCACTTGGTTCTTCATTTTCTCAGCATACTCTGCCTTCTTTCTTTCAAATTTTTCCTGTCATTAGTCCCCACAGATTAGTCGATCGAAACACATTTTGGTCAAATATCAAAAAAGGGTTCTAATTAGATTATATGAACTAGTGTTAACTTCAAGCAATGTACATGTTAAGTTGGTACAAAATACATTGTCAGATAAATGGTATGACAAAAAAAGAATTTCTGTCCAGAAGCGTGTAACACAAGATTATTTCACGACTACGACAAAGTTCCAATTTTCATTTTATTTTTATTAAAGATCATAATCTACTACAAAACATGGTTTTCTTACCTCAATTTTTTTGAGTTCTGCCTCCACAGAAGTTTTCTTGCTGTCTTCCCACAATTCTAATGTTGACATTCTTCTATATGCCCTGTCAATAGTTGAAAATGTTGGATTAATTTAATTACCTTAATCAAGCATGAAAGAGCATGATTATTGTAAAGCAATAGATACTCCAATAATTTTCATGTTTAAGCTTATATAAAGCACAATAGCCTCCCTCATACTTGTTCTCTGCTTTTGTCTTCTCACTTTCCTCCCATGCTTTAATTAGGGCCAACCGTTTCTTTGTTTCAATTTGTGCATACAAAGCATCTGAAGAAACAATATGAAGAAGATGATGATTTATACATCTCATAAATTGAGGGATGGACCAAAACAGATCCAAAGAAACAAGAACATCAGTCACATACCTCTCTCAGTTGAACCCCCTCCTATTATGTCTTTCTTTACAGCAGGGTATGCACTCTCTGGTACGACCGTATGATCGAAAAATTTACATGTTAGATGAAGAATATGCACAAAATATGAACTCCGGAAACAGATTGAATGCAAGAATTAAAAACCAGATCATAATAGAATTGAATAGAAAATTATAGTTACTTAAAAATTAAAAAAATTTCCTTGGGTTTCAGTTCATGCTTGCAGTGTTTCCAGAAGAAAAAGTGGCTGGCTGGATACATGCAATTCCCATGCTTCCTCTCCTCAACCTTTTTATTCTCCACCCTTCTTGTGACTTCATATTTTATTTAGAAATTTTTTTCCTTCAAATTCTTTTTTTTCTTACTTCCAACCTATTTTATTATTTTTGTCTTGGCTAAAGCCTGATCAATAGGATCCAACTTAGCAAATTACCTAATCAAACTTAATGTCTCATATTTTATATTTTTCAGATTCCTAAAATACCCCTACTTAAAGTTTGATAGTTGTTATTGTTGAGGCCCAAAAAATTCATGGTTGGGCCTGAATGAATTCTCGGCCCAATGCGACACCTTATTAAGAAAAGACCCAATTTGGAGCGCACGAAAGGCCGCCATACACGAGTCACAGTCCATGTGCCATGCCAAATAAATAATTTGTCATGCTAGGAATTAAGGTAAAGCTTATAAAATGCACTAGCTCTACGAGCCTATGCTAATTACCCCGTCAAGCATTATGTCCCTTTTCAAGAACGATAAAGTTAAAACTTAATGTCTCATATTTTATATTTTTCAGATTCCTAAAATACCCCTACTTAAAGTTTGATAGTTGTTATATCTATATATCGTGTTAACTTTCTAGCAAATTTAGAATAATTGAAAAGTTAGAAACTAGTAATTGTCTAAGAAAATTGGATGGGTAACAAAAATGACAATGTTTTGTAAACAAACGATAATACATGGGCAATTGCTGAGACAGGGTAGGCATCATAGCAACTGAAAATTGTGTGCAACATTAATCAATAATATCTGTGTAAGTAATAGCATAGAGGGAGGGAGATAGAGTGTGTGTACCTTTGACAGCTGCAGCAGGTGGAGGAGGAGGAGGAGGAGATGCCTTCTCATCAGAAATTGGGATCACGGTCTTGTCTTCAACGACATGGTTTAGAGCTCCTTCTTTATTCTCAATGACGCCGGGGGCTTCTGGTTCTGGTGGTGGTGGCGTTGTTGTGGGCGCAAAGGAAGCTTCAAGCTCATTAGCCTGCTTCTTGGGCTCTTGATCTCCCATGACGTAGTCTTTGAACTTGGCCACAATTCACACTCAACAAAAAATAATTAAAGAGAAAAATGAAATCAACTGCAACTGTCACCAAAATTTATAGCCAAAACCCAATGATCACAAAGAGCTGGCTTCGACGACTCCGAAAATCCGTCTTGTGTAGCAAGAAACATATGTTTTGCTGGAAATCCCTAGGTGAAAGGTGATGTGCGGTAGCTAGGAGATTACATATATAATAAGGTACAAGGGAGACAAAAAAAGGCATTCTTTGTGATCAAATGTTTCCAATTGAGTTTCAAATCAAAATCCATTTGAGTCTCAATTGAGTTTCCAGTTGAGTTTCAAATACTTGGGATATATGAAGAAACTTACAAAAAATTTGAAAGTGGAAGAAATATTGCCTTATGTGCATACAATGCATTTGAAGAAACAATATGAAGAAGAAGATGACTTATACATCTCATAAATTGAGGGTTGATCCAAAGAAACAAGAACATCAGTCACATACCTCTCTCAATTGAACCCCCTCCTATTATGTCTTTCTTTAAAGCAGGGTATGCACTCTCTGGTACGACCGTATGATCGAAAAATTTACATGTTAGATGAAGAATATGCACAAAATATGAACTCCGGAAACAGATTGAATGCAAGAATTAAAAAACAGATCATAGTTGAATTGTAATTTACTTAATTAAATTGGGTAATAGAAAATTATAGTTACTTAAAAATAAAATAAAAATTCCTTGGGTTCAGTTCATGCTTGCAGTGTTTCCAGAAGAAAAAGTGGCTGGCTGGATACATGCAATTCCCATGCTTCAAGAAAAAGTGGCTGGCTGGATACATGCAATTCCCATGCTTCCTCTCCTCAACCTTTTAATGCTCCACCCTAAGTTGCATGGTCCCTTTGTTTTCTAAACCATATAGATTGAGGGGAATTAGATTCCGGAATTGGAGTAGGAGTAGTCTTAATTACTACAACGTTTTCGTTGTTGGGTTAAAGTAGATGGCAAATTTGGAATTTTGAAAATTGTGTGAGGATATAATGGGTAGAAAAGATAAATTCCTAATGGGTTAGTTCTCTATGAATTAGAATACCACCTCCCACCCAAGAATTGGAAATTCATGAATTCAATTCCAAATTTGGTGTTGGCCCCATTTACTTTTCAATTCCTTGATGTGAAGTAAATGGAGGAATCCTCCATAGGTGGAATTCAATTCTTGATGAGAATTCCAATTCTTGATTAGTAAACACACCATTAACCTAAACATGCATGAAGGTATATATATATATATATATATATATAGAGAGAGAGAGAGAGAGAGAGAGAGAGAGAGTTTTTATTGAGGGACACCCTTGTAGGGCCCACTCCGCATGAGAGAGTTTTTATTGAGGGACATCCTTGTTGGGCCCACTCCGCATTTTATTTCACTAATCAAACCGTCTATTTTTAGATAATCATTCAAAGATCATATCTACAAAAAAAAAATAAAAAAATCATTTGAATCCGATATCATTTTACCACTAAATTAAGTTATTGAAATTTTAGTACTTTCTTCAAAGATCATCTTCAATTTGTCTAATTTTTTGAAGTTCTAACGTACACCATAAGGAACTAATCTCTTTGTTTTCAAGGAGCAGAAGAAAAATAAAAGCATATATATTAGAACTTCACACTTTCATTTTTCACCATGCTCCTTGAAAACGAAGTGATCTAGGAGGATCTCAATAAATCAATACAAGTGAAAAGTATTGGCTTAAGAGGGACGAGGGTGTGCTACACCTTCGAAAGTAAAAAATAAAAAATTCACCCTTGCACAGGCTACACCAATTTATTCAGATGGGATGAATACAAAGGATGTTAGTTGAATTTGGACGATGCATACTGTGGGAACCGAATTAATTCGTAACCCTAGGTCAAATAATTCCTTCCATTTGAGGATTATTTGACCTAATTGGGAATTATTCAATTTAATTGGGGATTACCCAATTAAATAGAATGTTACCTAATTAGGTTGAGGATTGATTTGATTCCTACGAATATTCTCAATTAATGGAGGAGTTACCTAATTAAATTAGGTATTGATTTGATTGCTACCCTGATTAGGGATTTGATTTAAATCAAATAAATCAAATCCCTAATTAGTCAAATCT